CTCAATAGATGTAGGAGGTGGTTTTAGAGGACATTTTTGAGATGTCAGACCTGGTACAATTCCCAAATTGATCAGRGTCTTCTTTTCGAGTACTGTTCAGTGCGAAGGTTCCTGTTTTTGTTTAATTCCTCTGCAAGAGTAGGAGGGCTTCTTAGAAAACAGAGTGAAACACTTTATGTCTGTGGTTTTGAGTGCTTCCAGGATTACAGGATGCCATGAAAAGAATAGCATCTATTTTGTTAGGTGGTAATGGGTGTCCTTTGCAAGAGGGGGTGTGTGCCTAAGAGAAATAAAGACTTYATTTATTCGAGTAAATGAAGTGCTCTTTATCTGAAGGTTTTTGCCTTTGGGAAAACTAGGATGTAGATTTATGCCCTGCTATTTTACAGCAGATAAAAGTCTAAGGGTTTTGTCACTTTTCTAGAAGTGTGGCTGTCAYGCAAACAAATGCAGTGCACATGCAGTAGTTGGTGCTTTCAGTGACATGTRCWAAGCCATCTCCATGCTTCTGGTGTKCYTTCATCCCTAGCTGAACTTCCTGACTCTRTTTTGGTCTGTTCTCCATGCAGTATTCCACTGAACTGAAAAAGCTATACTGCCAGATTGCCAAGACGTGTCCCATCCAGATCAAAGTGATGACCCCACCGCCTCAGGGAGCTGTCATCAGGGCTATGCCCGTGTACAAGAAAGCTGAACATGTCACCGAAGTGGTTAAACGCTGCCCCAACCACGAGCTGAGCCGGGAGTTCAACGAGGGTAAGGAGGGCAGTGCTGTGCTGGCAGTCACTGTCCAGAGCTGCTTGGCTGATGAGTGGCCCCTGAGGGATTTGACAGCAGCTTCAGAGCAAACCTTCTGGAAGCAGACCTCCCTGTGACACCTTGCACAGCTTTTATTTCCCGTGCTTGGCAGGAAGCATCACTCAATGCTTTAGCTGTCCCTGTGCAAGCACGTCCTTGGGAGGAGAGTACTGAAATAAACCTCAGGCCTGCCCAGGTTGGATGGATGTCTGTCCCCATGGCAGGCAGTGCYCCTCTGGCAGCCTTTCTCTGCTCTGCTTTTGCTCCTGCAATGAGAAGCAGCTGTTCTTGTGCTCAGGAATGAGCTTCCATGTCGCTGGGACAGGGATCTAGTAACAGGATGCAATATCATCTCCAGTCCTTAATCCACGCCTCAAAAGACGGAGGGGCTGTTTATCTCTGGCAGGATAATGCTAAGTGCCAGCATCAACTGTAGGCAACGTTCTTCTACATTTAACACTCTSGGTTCAGCATTAATGTTTTAATCTTTTACTTGCTTCTCCTCATGTTAGTGGAGTAGCAGCTGTTTTTAAAATGCCCCGTGGTTTTCTGCAAGCTCACGGGCTGGGTTCCATTTTGCCTTGGCCACTTAAGTTCACGTAAGTTCAGATGAGCATCTGTTTTATTCTATGTGCATTATTTATCTCCTACTGTAAAAAAAACCCGGTTGGTGTCAGTTAGCAGGATGTCTTAGGAACCTGGATTCTATTGCTAGTTACAGCAGCCAGCTAGTTCTAGTGCAGCCAGCTAGACAAGCCCCAAAAATAAGCAAGGACTTGTGAGTGTAAAATCTGAGTGGAGTGAGAGTTTTTCAAACCAGTTTTTTATAATAGAAAGTGCTTTTCTGACAGAACTGGATTTATTGAGGGTTGATACCATTGAGAAATAGCGTTTTAACAAAGAAAAAAAAAGTATAAATCCTTTTTCTGAAATAATTATTTCTCTAGAAATAGGCTGTATTTTGAGTAAGAAATTAACAGTTAATACACAAAACAAACTCTTGATATGAACCCACAGCAGACTCTTCTCCTCAGAATTTAGTTGCATGTTRTAGAAATACTGAAGAAAATTTGCAGGAAGGAAGCTTTTAATTATGGGGAAGTGGCCTAGGAACCGAGAAGATCATGTTCCCTTCTGCTGTAAGCAAGCATGGTTTTTTAAGCTGGCCATTAATTAAGTGCATATTTCCCTTGCTACTTGAATCTTTTTTTTTTTTTAGGATCAAGACTGATAGAAGGAGCTGAGGAAGGGCTAGCAATTGATAGGAGGAAGAGTAGTGAGACTCGCAGGAATTTTCTTTGTATGTGCATTAGAGGGAGGAAAAGAAAGGCTTTAAGATGGTGAGAAAATCCAGGAGTTATCTGCTGGAAGGTCTGCTCTGAGCTGCCATTCAATTCACATTTGGGTTTGCTTTGTCTGCGATCCTGGGAAGCCCTTGTTTAGGTTTAGCCACAGATGTCCAGAGAGCTTGAGAAAGCCTGTTTTACTTTTGGTGTCTAGCAGTAGGGATCTTGGGAAGGGATGCTTTAAGGCTGGAACACACCTGGGTGTGCTCTGAGAGATCTCTGGGGCCACGTGCAGTTCTCTTGACAGCAGATCTTGCCACCCTGTGTGTGACCTTGCTTCACTGAATAGTGTCTCTTGTTTTTTGCCCCTTGCAGGGCAGATTGCACCTCCCAGCCACCTGATCAGAGTGGAAGGGAACAGCCATGCCCAGTATGTAGAAGACCCCATCACCGGGAGGCAGAGCGTGCTGGTCCCCTACGAGCCACCCCAGGTATGCTGTGAGCTTGGGCTGGTGGCATCCTGGCAAACAGAGGGGTGGGGGTTGTAACCTTTCCTAAAGGAGTTGGGACCTTGGGCTTTCCCCATCCTCATCACAGTGAATCTTTTCTTCATCTTTGTCAGAAATGAGCTATGAGACACTCCCTTTTCTCCCTTGAGAGCAGGGATTCTTCATTTCTTTTAAGGAAGCTTTGTAGTGGGGATTTATTTCCTGCTGGTCTGATTGTAGCCCCCCCTTGGGAAATACAAGAGGAGAGCTTGGAAAAAGCAGAGCTTTCTATCCACCATCTGTTCTGCTCATGCCCTTTGTCTCATCCAGGTCGGTACTGAGTTCACCACAGTCTTGTACAACTTCATGTGCAACAGTAGCTGCGTTGGAGGGATGAACCGACGCCCGATCCTTATTATTGTGACCCTGGAAACCAGAGAGTAAGTTGTGCATCAGGAGTATGACCATTCTTGATGCTCTTCCACTCAGGGCAGCATCCCRTATCCTTAGGAACAGCTTAATTAAAGGGGCTATAGGATATCTTTTAAGTCTTTGCAAGTGTGAGTTGCCCAGCACCCAARAAATCCGGACTGGGAAATGGGAGGTGCACAATCTTGTATAAAGTTGAGGGGTGCTGCTGGCCTGTATCCAACATCCCAGCTGATGTTTCTCCTCACCTCTCTTCCCAGTGGGCAAGTCTTGGGCCGCCGATGTTTCGAAGCCCGTATTTGTGCTTGCCCAGGCAGAGACCGCAAGGCAGACGAGGACAGCATCCGCAAGCAGCAAGTGTCCGACAGCACAAAGAATGGTGATGGTACGAAGCGCCGTAAGTAGCTGGCAGAGCTGGGCAGATTGCAAACTGAGCTGTTACTGGCTGCTTGTGGTGCTGTGCATGGGCTTGGAGGCAGGAAGGCATTAGATGTCTGTTCTCCCAGGGTGGATCAGCCTAAAAATTGAGCTGGTGTTCACAAAGCAGTGTTTGACAATCTGGGTTTGTGGGCTCCCTTGCAGTGCTGCTGGTGTTAGATTAGCCCTGCCAGCAGTGGGTGGAGGGGATGTTTATTTGCCACCTTCCAATTGTATGTCTGGGACTCTAACCTTTTGAACCTTTACTGCTTGTTTGGGGCCGTGGTGTTATTCTCTGCTTCATCTAGCCGGTGTTTTGTGCTGTGGCAGGTGTCTGCCAGCCACAAGGATCTGGACATGAACCCTGCTATGCACTCTGGCAAGCAGCCTCTCTCTGTGCTCTAAAGAGAGCCAAATACTCACTGGACATGCAGGGTGTGGAAATGCACCTTTGGTTTCCCCTGTACACTCAGTGAGGGCAGCAGGCTCAACAGCAGGGCACAGGCTGTGATGGGAGGCAGACGGGAGTGGGGCTTCGTTTTCTCAGTGAGTTCTGCTCCTTGACGATGGTCTCACCATTGTGGATGACTGGTTCACCAACAGCTTGTGAGCAGTGTAATAGCAAAACTTGTGGTCTTTMTTGTAAAGAGCCAGTGCTTGTTCTAAGCATGACTTACTGGGAATTTGTCATACATCCAGCACTCCTTGGCAGATGTGTTTACCCAGGTGACATGGATGGCCAGCATCTGCCGTCATGTCTGCCCGAAAGAGCCAGGAGCTGCAAGCACAGTTCTGGAGTGGCTCAGGCAGGGATCCTTTCAGAGCGCTGCAGATCTGAGCTGGCCATGCACTTCATGTCTCATTTGTATCTCTCTTCTTGCCTTTTTGTTTTTTGTTCACTCCTCTCCACACCCCCCCNGCCTTTGGGGTTTCTCTTAACAGCTTTTCGACAAGGAACTCACGGCATACAGATGACATCTATCAAAAAAAGACGTTCCCCGGATGATGAGCTCTTATATTTGCCAGTGAGTTCTTTCTGTCTTTGTATTTACCCTATGYTTAGTATCTTTCTTGGTGACTTGAGGCTCACCTAAATGTCAGAAAAAACTGAGGATGGGGTTGGAGTGTGAAAAAATAATTTTTGTTTTCTTTAATTCCATATTGTAAATACATATTCCAAATAGAAAGTATTAATCCCACTAGGTRCTAAGAGTGGCTTATGCAAAGCATATGAGAAAATCCCAAGAAATCTGTTTGTCCTGGTGGAAACATTATGTTTGAGATCTAACTTAGGTTTCCTCCTCTGGGTCTGTGACACATGACATTTCTCTAGAAACACTGGGTGTTGTCCTACTGATAGGTAGGCTCCTGTGACTTTTATGTCTATTACCACTGTAGTGCAGTAATAGCAGTGAAATATGCTGTATTAAGTATAGGCCCAGAAAAGGTAAGAAGTATCTCTCATTGGCCATTTGGCTTCTTCCCTGTGAGCCATATTTAGCTGGGTAACTCACAAACCTTGGTGTGCTTGGAGGAGAAGGGAGATCCAAACCCAGCTCCCAAGTTTAAGTGCTATCTTTTCTGAAGGCATGTAAGATTCAGCGCCAGATCTGCTTACATCTGAGGCTGGTAAAGATGTTTTCTGTCTAAAAAAGTTGGATCAGAATGTTGATTTTGGCTGGCATAGATTCACATTGAGCCATAGGACAACTCCAAGATGTTCATTAGCCTGCAGTGTGAGATTATCACTCTTCAGCATTATGTGCTGCACCTCTAGCACAAGGTTTAGAAGTTTTATTATGTGTGCGTAGTGTATAAACAGAGTATTTGCTTCCTGCTCTAGTTGTTTACTTGACTTTATCTAAAACTCTCTAAGGTGACTACACTAAGGACTATAAATGCAGGCCTTTAAAGGTACAATCTCCTTTCCTTTTCCCATGCTGCAGGTGAGGGGACGGGAGACGTATGAAATGCTGCTGAAGATCAAAGAGTCCCTGGAGCTGATGCAGTAYCTTCCCCAGCACACGATTGAGACSTACMGACAGCAGCAGCAGCAGCAGCACCAGCACTTGCTCCAGAAGCAGTGAGTACCAGTGTGCTTGCAGTGTCAGTGCAGTGGGGAAKGGGGAGAGAGGAGAGAGACACAGAAGGGTTCTGCACAGTTGTTCACAGGGACAGCACAGCGAGGCAGAGCCACTGACAGCCTGTGGTCAGAAACCTGCTGCATGTGCCTGTCCCAGCTGGGGAGCACAGGCTGGGTGCACTTCTCTGTCATCTGCTCCATGGGAATGGCAGAAAATGTGGAGCCATTTCTGTGCCTTCTCTAGGGTATCCATCTGAGTATTTTGCCAAGAATATGTAGAGAGGTGGGACTGTGAGTACCAGCTGAGCTGAGTACTTGGACCCCACTGCAGTGCATCTCTGGTGCATTGGAGGGCTGGTGTCTCAGTGGTACAGCAGCACTTCAGGCTGGTCAGCTGAGACCAGTAAGAGCAAGGCTGAAACACATGAGATTTCCTTTGTGACTAGTGGGCACTTCAAAGAAAGATTTCGTACACACTTCTAAAGTGTTGTCAAAAACTGCACTTTGCCAGCTGACATGGCTTATGAGAAGTTTTTCATCTTCTTTGAGCTCAGCTGACAGGGCTGCACTGGGATKGCTTTGGGTGCTCTAAGTGAGAGGAGGATGGGGTAAGGAAGGACCAAAAAGATGACTGAGTTCCATATTCCTCTGGGTTCCCAAAGCTTTGCAGTTACAGAGGCTTGGGCAGAGAATGACTTCCCAGAGGAGCTGTAAGCAGTGTCATTCATGAGCATWGCTTCACCTGCTGTGTCGGGTGACAGAAAATAGCCCCCCGGGCTGTYGGTGGCTGCCAGCGGTAGTGCTTCGGATCTCGCGCGTTCCTGCTGGGAAGCTCTCACGTCAGGAGGCTSTGGGTATAACTCATTCCTCTGCAGAGGTTACCATGGGGCCAAGGCACCACATAAGTCCCACTTGAGCCTGTAGGGATTTATTTCAGTGCCTTGGCCTTGTCTCAGGACTTCTGCAATACCCACAGCTTTCTGCCAGATCTCTGCATGTGTTCACATTTCAACCTGTGTGTTTTTAGTGTCAGCTGGAGTCTTGTGGAGGTGTGAAAAAAGCCTTCTGCCAAAACGTCTGGAGCATCCAGAGGCTCTGGACTCTTTTTTAGGGCACTTAAAAATCTCATTATTATTATTATTATTATTATTATTATTATTATTATTATTATTATTATTTACTTTTATCAGTCATCTGCACTGTTTGTATATACTATAGCTTGTATTTTCTAGCTCCTAGGCATTGTGGCCTTTGTGTGCTCTGCTGCTTGCCTTCAAAGCTTCACCTGAACCACAGCCATTTCAGCTGAGAAATGGTTTTGTAAGCAGAAATGGACAGCAGCAGATGACAGCTTTCCCTTGGTGCTGACAGTTGGCTTTGCCATAATTACTGTTTTCATTCTTTCTCTATCAGTAGGATGGGTTCCTGGCAAATGGGGTTGGTATTCGTGTTGCCTTTAAGACCAGCGTGTAGAAGTCCAGCCATTTAATTTAATGAAACTTTTTTTGGCATGTCTCTGGCACTTGTCCATTATATACTCATTTGTTCTCAGTTGCTAAGTGTGCTCAGATACAGGGGAGAAAGATTAAGAGCTTTTAAGGGTGCCAGGAGTGGGGAGAGAAACAACTTCTAGTGTTTGTCCAGAACGTCTGCAATTGTCTCTGCTGACAGGCTGCCATCAAGCAGGGTCCTCTGTGCTGAAATCYATGTTCAGGCAGTAGTTTCTTAGGTGCACTTTGGGTTTTGGTGCTTTTTCCCCAATAATCCGGGGTATGGCTTAATATCTGAGGTAATGTGTTGAGGGCAAAGGGATGTTCAGAGGCTGAAAAGAGACTGAGATGCAGTTGCACCCCCAAAAAGAACTGTAAAGGAGCTTCGGGTCTCAATGTGAGAATGGGGGGAGCAGCTGCTTTGTAGGGAATGGTTTGGATAAGTGCAGTTGTGCATGTGAGCAGGTTGCTGGGAGATGTCTTGCTACTGCTTCCTTGCCAAACTAGCCAAACTCAGGAGCACAGGGGCTCCTTTTGAGTCTGGCCTTTCACTTTGTATGTAAGGATCTACTTTAAAATCTTGGTCTCAGTTCAGCTTTACTTCAATGCACATGTGAAAAGTGGGAGCTGGGAAAGCCTGCATGCTGTGACCAAATTGGAATGTGTTGGAAGCAGGGCTCTGTGGGACTGGAATGCTTGAGAATTGCCTTTGGCTCTTCATTCTCAAAATTGAGCAGCATCCACATGTGCTCCAGAGTCGAGCCTTGGTCGAGAAATTCCTTGATTTTTCAGTTAAGTTTTCTGGGCAGTGGTTAACATAGAAAAACTATCTATATATGTGGAAGGGGTTTTCCCTTTCACACTTACAACATGGAAAGCTTCATATTTTTGAAGAGTAGGAAAAGCAAGGTTGAGTTTGTCACAGTGAAAGGTAGTTTTAAAAACATAAATCTCTCATTTCTGAAAACAACTGTATAATTCTTCCCATGCAGAAACAGACCAGCATTACATTTGACAGGCCAGCAGATGCAGCTGTCTTACTATTCTGGAATAAAAAGGACAAATCTGGTGACAATCAGAATTCTTGTGTCCCAGTAGAAGACCAAACTTCTGCAATGCTCCATGTTGTGCCAGACCACAATATTTCTCTGTCTCATCTCCTCTCTCTGCTTGCTCCTTTGTGCATGGTTTTCTCTTACTTACTGTTATGCCAAATACCTTCATGATCATAGGTGGGAAGTTGCTGGGTGTTTTTTCCTGTAGTTTCTAGTCTTCCTTTTTCACTGTCAAATCCTGGGGCCCGTGCTTGAACAGCAGCACATACCATCATAATCTACCAGCATTTGTGTAAAACATAGATTTGCTAGGTGATTACTGCCGCGAGAGAYATCAGAGGTGGCTCGTGCTTTGTTGGGGAGGGAATGTTTCCTCATTAACCTGCTGTGAAATATGTTTACCATCAATATTCCCAGGGAGTTGTCTGCACAGTTTTTAAGGATTTCATTAGAAAACACTTTTTCATGTGGTGGTTTTCACTCTGCTGAGCACTGTTTTCAGAACTATCAGTGTTTCAGTTTCCTGCAGCAGTGAATCACAGAACATACCAAGTTGGAAGGGACCCATAGAGTTCATAAGGAACACCTAGTCCAGCTCCTGTGATTGAAGGGTTTTCACAAAGTCTTCAAGTGGCTACTAAGAAGAGGGTTCCTATGTCCAAGTGGGATCTTGTACCTACCCCAGCAAACAATTCTGTTGTATCAGCAGGGCTGCAGCTACCAGCCCACTGGCTGCCTTTCAATCTAGTGAGCAGCACAGCCCATTGTCCAAATGAGAAGTAATTCACCTCRTAAGTGAGCTGTGACAGGACTGAGCTATCCAGTGCCTGGAGTGCTCYGGCTGAGCTGTGAGCTGCAAGGATCCCTGTGCTTGCTGTTGTGGGAAGGTGGCTGGTGGAGAAGGTACTCTTTGTACCTTCACTTCATTAATCTCACTTTTGGTGTGAAAACTAATATAGTGGATTTTTGCATGATTTGGTTTGGTTTTGTGCTGTGCTTGCATGTGAACTCCAGGCACCTGGATAGTGTTCTCAGTACAGAATGGCCAAGATGAACCAAGAAATGCTTTGTGGGCTCAGAGGTTACAGTACTCTCTGCATCAACCGGTGGCCCCAGGACCCCTTGGCTTTTCAAAGGGGCTTTTGAGCTGTAATCAGTATGGCAAATAGGCACCSTTCTCCCTCTCTAGCACCAGCTACTGGTTTTGAAGTGATTGTAGTTAAGAGTGGATTCTATGGAAGCTGCTACTTCTTTTCCCCTTTGGCTGAATGCTTTYGTTTCTCCTATATTTGTCACTGGAAACATTATCAGGGCATTATTTGTACCCATGAGACTAGGACAGAATCGGATTTCCCAATCAAGTGGTTGTTTCGCTTCCTTGGCAAGCACTTGCTTGTTCCTGGGGCTTTCCAGCTTCCTAAATCTCCCTGTTACATACCCTCACTGTAGGTGCTRAAACATCTGCTTTTTCCCTCTTTGAAAGCCCATACTGTGATCATGAAGGTGGAAAGTGACTGTTTCTCTCTTGGTGGCTGGCAAAGGGTTCTGTACATTCATCTTTCTCTTTTCTCTGGTTCCTTCTTTACAGTCTCCTTTCGGCCTGCTTCAGGAGTGAACTCACGGACACAAGGAGAGACCCTCCCAAACAGACCGATGCCATCCTAAAACATTCCAGCCCCCCAAACCCATCAGTATATCCATAAACCAAGCTGTCAGGGTCACTTTGCCCAGCTGGCAGGACTAGGAACAGTGGGGCAAATACACAGACTGATAGCAGCAGAGTGAATAGTGAGAGTAAACTTCTGAAGGGACTCAAACTTTGCAAAAACAACAGACACTTCTACGGACCTCTTAGCTGTAGCCCATAGYGTTGCGAGGTCGGGAACCACGGTGTTGTCTGTCTTGGTGTAACTTTTTTTTTTCCTGTTTTTGTAATGTGTTGATACTCTTTTCTTCTTTCTTCTGTATTTGTGAAACTCAGCAGGGTTTCTCTGAGCAGGTCTCAATTTTAAATGCCTTTTGTCTTGTTTAAGTTAAAAATGTGTCCATGGACTGGGGGATGGAAGCAGGGGATGTG